GGTAAAGGGTGCCATTTGTACTGTGCACCCCAATCACTAGATTACAGGTTTTTCTACACTTCCCACTATGCTATCTCATATTAATCTCCGTTATGCTGCAGCAGCACAATGGATGGCAATAGTATGATATCCAACACAATGAGGGAAATAACAAATCCTATTCTGCGTTCCACAGCGTTCAGCCTCTGGAACGCAATCTGGCCGGCATTCCGGTACGGTGCAATCTGCAAAAATAGTGCATGCAGCATTTTTGCAGATCGCACTGGACAGGAACGAAGGCACGAATGTTCCATGCATTCTGGTGCGGACGATCACACTGTGTTTGGGGGGCATGGCTGTGGGGCCATTGACTGCAATGGACTGCCACTCTCCCTCCTGTCTCTGAATGCAGAGAGGTGGCCAGTTTGCGTTCCGAGGCAGTCTTGATGGTGTGAACCGGCCCTTAATGTCTGGCCGTGACCACTTACTGTCAGGGTGGGTTTGCACCTGTGAATTGCAGTATCATGCGGTACTCTGCCCATTACCGCAATGCAGAGCACTCTGGTGCCTCGTGGCATTCATTTTAAATGAATAACCCTAACGCACAAAACACTGCATGTTGACTTGCTGAATGGAACAGCTAGGTATGAAGGAGGCCCAATTTGTTGTTACACTGCCTTCTCTTGCAATAATAAAGTTGTAAAGAAACTTATTTCAGTAATCTTATGTGGAGATGGCATTATTACACATGAATCTAAAATAATATGGCCTTTTGTTTTTTATTAGGCTGGCATGTCGGCACCAGGAACAAGAAGAGATATCTATGATCAGAAAGGAATCACTCAGCCAATCGACAACTCTACAATCTCACTACAAATGGGCACCAATAAGGTGGCATCTCAGAAAGGAATGAGCGTGTACGGCCTAGGCCGGCAAGTGTACGACCCCAAATACTGCGCCGCCCCCACAGAACCAATCATACACAACGGCAGCCAAGGGACCGGCACAAATGGCTCCGAGATCAGCGACAGCGACTATCAGGCAGAGTACCCTGAGGATTACACAGGAGAGTACCCAGAAGACTACCCTAGAGATTACCATGGCCAGTACAGTGACCAGGGCATAGATTACTAGGTTTATACAGTCTGCACAGTATTAGTTCTTTATTTTATTCAATGAAGACCAAGCTAGCCTTGTGTAATTGTTTTTTTTTTCTGTCTTCCTTAAACACTACTATGCTTTAATATGGAACAAGAAACAAATTGCCTTATGTACATTCCTTATTTCATCTCTGCCTTGTATCCCTAGTTGCCTTTTAGTGTTGAGATTGAGGTTACCGGCAGCATTACCAGGAACTGCATATGAAGTAAAAGGAATACTGTGAATAGGGAAGGGAGATTTGTACAGTCACTTAAGCTCTATCAGGACTATGCATTTTACTGCTATACATATCATGGCGCATGCTAGGATCATAGGTCTACAGTGCTTAGTCATTTTTTAATTGCCAATGGCTGAGGTAACTTTTTAACTAGTTGATAGTTTCTTTTTATTGCTATTTCCATGGTGTATTTTAGATGGTTTTAAGTGATGTCGGCCCCGTATCAGCAGACATTTTGTAAAGTGTGAGCACTTGCTTTGGCTAAATGCTTTTTGGTTTTTATAACAAAATGGCTGCCTTTACTAGGTAGTGTGTACTTGCCAGACACACTTTAAGTATTAGTTGCCTTAGCAGAGCTCTGATCTTTTTTTTTTTCCCCTGCCCTTAGGGCCACATGCATAGCAAAGCTGCACAGGGAGGAAATTCTATTCCAATAGGCGATGCCAATTCTGGAATAATGTTCCAGGAGCTTGTAAATGGTTATGGAGATTTCCTGACATAGAACAACCATTGTAGACGCCAGCCTTGTTTCTAGCGAAGTTGTCTCCGAAAGGTGCGACTTGTGGACTATTTGGTGGTATAGTAGTGGGTAGTAGTGTTTTCTCGTGCGGCTGGCTTTCCATCTGAGGTAGATAGGGGTAGCAGGTTAGTGAAAATGGTGGTTAGGAGGGATTTTAGATATATAAAACTGGATGCAAGGAAAATCATCTGTGGGTGGCTCTTAAAGTCCTCCAACATGGTGAACGTTATTTGCTGTAACCCCCAAGGTCCCAATTCCCATCATTGCATTGGGAAGAAGTTCTATGTGCTGCATCAGTCCTGCATTGCTCTAATCAAGTAGGTTGCATATGATGTTCGGAGATGGTAGTGTGCATTATTAATGTAAAAGCCGTGAGAATGAACCCTAGCAGGTAACTGGCCGTCATGTATACAGCCTGCACTGCAATCACTTCTCAAAATACATAGATCTATATTTAATTCAACAAGTGAGACTTTCTGTTCCCATGTCCCTGTGACTGATGGGGTAAAAGCTGATCTCTGGATAAAAAGAACCCTCTGCATTGGGGATACCCCTGCACTGTAAGGGTTAACTGACTGTTTTTGTCTAGGGGCATTCTTTAAAGAAGCTTTGCTTACCTGATCCCCGCTCCCCTGTTGGGTGGCACTCGCCTCTGTACTCTCTGCTCCGGCTGTGGACTCTCCTTCGCCATCCTAATGTAGAGCTATGGACTATGCGATAGGCATGATGACATCTGTGGGCCTCCAGCCACCAGAAGTGTGAAGAGGCTGCGGGAGCGGGGATCAGGTAAGTAGAACTGCTTTAACACCTGCCCCTGGGCAAAAATCAGCAGTTAACCCTTGCCGTTCAGGGGTAGCCCCACTGCAAGGGGATGTTTTTTTTTTTTCCGGAGATGGGCTTTAAGCCCATGCTACCTTGGAGGTAAGAAGTTACATTTATGGCCAGTTGAAGCAGTAAGCTTCTCTGTAGCGGTGTTCTGGTATTACTGGAAGAACCATGTTTTCATTGTTTATATACTACTTGCTGCATGTTGGCGTTTCCTGATGCACTTACCAGTAACTGGAGTCGTGCCACCAGTCATAAGTGGTAGGTAGCCAGAAGTAGGAATCTCAGTCTTGGAGAAAACATTGTGATGCATTGCAAACACTTTATAACAAGCTTAGTACGCACAGACTTTTAGGATGTCCAGCTGAGCCTTAGTGAACGTTAATGACCCCGCTGAAAGCCTTTTATGCTCATAAATAATGAAGTGCTGCACCAGCTGTATAAAACAACTTTGCTTGACTGCCATCAATTTCCATTAATACCAGTGACCTCACTGAGGCATCAAATATTGGTTTCCCCACAAAATGGCTGCCTGCTAGTAACTCGCCGTGACAAAACAATTTGTGATCTCATTTGAGGCAAGGCTTTGTCTTCAGGTGAAGAATCCATGTACACATTTTTGAATGAGTTTTCTGCTGTCTTGTAGATGAAGAGAAGACTTCTTGTGTTTTCAGTTTCCCACAAAAGTATCTCATTGGTTCAGCTATGCAGAGAAATACCTTTCAGGGGAAATCTAGAAGTCCTTTTATCCAGGATTCCTTGGTTACAATGTTTAACCTATAATTAAAAAATTGGCCGCCACAGCAGAGCAGCCAGCAAATGGGCCACAGCATTTGGTGCTTCATGGAGGTCAGTAACAGTTGAATGTGTTATGCACATAATTCTTTCTTTCCCTGCGTACACAACATTCCAGAATGAAAATGGTAAATCATGTTCTAACTTGGCCCGGCAGGATGATGTGAAGGTTATGACAGGTGAGGGACCACATGTTCAGGGATGCAGAAAGTGTACCATTGCTATTCCCGTGCTGCTGGCAGGAAAACCCTGTGCTTTCTAATCTGCCCTGCAATGTTTAGTTGTCTTATGAAGGGAGCCTGTACAAAAAGTCTGGACCATGCAGATGTCTTATGTTCTCCATTGTTCTGAGGGCCTGCAGCCAGCCATGTTGTAGGTACCCTTTGGGGCATAAAAGGATTTAAACGACAGTGCATTTACAGTTGTCTGTGCCATAATGTACCCATGTAGATGTGCTTAGTTTCTTTTATGTGTATTTATTGCCACATTTCTCAGCATAAACCGACCCCATTGTATTTTTTATAAATAAATTTTGATATTTTTTTTTTTCTTTTGAGATCTGAAAATGTCTCTGGTGTCTTTATTTCTGTATTATGTCCAATCAGACTGCTAACCTGCTTTCTAAATGGCCAAAACGTAATGATTGCCTTTGGAGTGAAGGAGGCAAAGGCCCAATCTATATGGAGTTTCTTCTAATCAATGACAATTATGTGACTGTCGCTAAATTTAAAAAAAAAAGATACCTGGTATGAAATCTGGATAGAAGAGGGCACCAAGCAAGTAGTAAAGTCCAGCATGAGTGCATTGCCCATAATATCTGTTCCATCTTGTTTTAGGAGTTCTAATGGCCTGATTCTTCAGGGCCATAAAGAACTCTGGGCAAATCAAACCCTAAACCTTGCAGTGGGACTACCCCTGTACTGCAGAGGTTAAGTGCTCACTTTGTCTATGGAGCTAACACACACACACACACTATATTTTACAAACTTCTAGATCAATATGGTTATTAGGAGTGCGATTTGAACTTCTGGAAATCCAATATAGAATGACATAAATTTTTTGTTTTTGATTCATCAGACTATGGTACAGTTCTGATGTTCACATGCCCATTGTAGATGCTTTTGGCGGTGGGCATGGGTCAGCATGAGTTCCCTGACCGGTCAGTGGCTACAGAGCCCAATATACAACAAATCTTGATGCACTGTGTGTTCACACACCTTTTCTATCAGAACCAGTATTGACATTTTCAGCAATCTGAGCTGCAGTAACTTCTATTGGATCGGACCACTCGGGACAGCCTTCACTCCCCACATTCATTAAAGGAGAACTATGAGGTGAGTGCTTTTCACTCACCTCATAGTTCTAGCCGACCTGTGACAATGAGACTGTCACAGGTCGGCTCAGTAGATCGGGAGGTGAGCGAACACATACCGGGTTCGCTCGCCTCTCGATCCTGTCACGGCTCTCTGCTGTGACAGGGGGAGGGGCTGGATTCCCCTCTCCCCGCTCTGATCTGCCAGCGCTGACTGGTGGAACGGAAGGGGGCGGGTACAGCTGGCTCTGCCTCTAGATAGAGCCAGCTGTCACTCACGCAGCTGGGCGGAATCCGTCATCTACGTCGGGATCCGCTCCCTGACCATTATCACTGAAAGGGAAGGACATCCCACATTTTGAGTTGCCATCAGAACAGGAATAGAGCAATATTCCATCGGGGACACTAGTTCTCCCAAATGGAACAGATGGCAAAAAAAGAGAAGCTGACAGGTTCCGTTCCTCTATCCAAAACCTCAACTTGCAACTTTCTAGATTTGCTGATCCTTGGCGTAGCCCTGGAGACCATACCTAGACCTTGCTATGAGGAAGAAGTGGGGCGAGCCTGTAATATTTCCTTGTGTGCACTCTCCGATGTGCACCCTCCATGTAACGTGTGAATTAGCCACAGTGTGCTTTACAGGTCTAGGGCTCTAGAGCCTCCATCTGGGGGAACACTGTCCCTGAAGCGGGTATGCCCAGCAGGATGGCAAAGACTGCTTGGGCAGCTCATGTTCCCTGGATCTTGCCTGTTATCTCTTGATGGGGACCGCAGGGCATTCCAAGGCCACCGCTGTGGTAAGTTAAAAGTAGAACAAAGGTCGTGGCAACGAAAGGGTTGATAGTCCTCAGCGAGTTAAGAAAAAAAAACTTGTCCTGTACACTCAATATTGCAACCTGTTTTGTATTGCTATTGGCCTAATCAGAGAAAACACTTAAGGTGCCCACACACACCTTGCGATAATCGTAGGAAATCCCGCGATCGTACGATTATCGTAAGGTATGTGGAAGCCGTGCGACCTCTACTACTGTACGGTCGCACGACTTTTATCTTACGAACATGTTCGATAACCCGCTTAGAATCGTACGATTTTCGGCGGGTGTGTAGCATGTTTGTACGATAAAAGCCAGGCGGGGCAGTGTGCGCTTGCGGTCATCGGAAGCCCGCCCCTCAGAGGGGCGGGCTTGTGATCATCGCAAGTACGATCTGCCTGTCCGAGACAGGCAGATCGCAAGTTTTTTGAATTACCTTACAACCATCGCAAGACAAGTCTTGCGATGGTTGTAAGGTATGTGCCCAGCCTTACTCCTTCCAAACATCTGCTCAGCAATATCCTATTGAGGGGTTATTTAACCACTTGCTGTCCATACAGTTCTACTAGGTCGGGGTGGGTGTAGGTACATCCTCATGTGCTCAGCTTT